TAAGAATACTGCCTGAGACAAAATGTCACATATTTGTGTGAACTATTGTTTCCCTGAGGAACCAGACATGGAGGAGGCTGGTAAAAGAAAGGTGAGTCTATATGCTGACCATTCATTCAAAACTCTCTTTACCCATTAACTAGAGTAAACTCCACTGAGAGCCATGATTTGGCCCCAGCTTAGAAAAGGGAGATAGTGATGTGTATAGTAGTTTTCTTCCTTGGCTATTTTGTTCTGGAAAGGATGGCATGCCACCTCCTTAGAGAGGATCCGCCCAATCCTTGCTCTGTCTGTCATCTCCGAAAGTCTACAATGCATGTATTCTGGATCATGCAGTCTGGCCCAGTATTGCACTGCCTATATAAAGCTGGTGTAATTTTTTGCTTATCCCATGACGCTTCCTTTACTGCTACCCACATGGCTTCTTCGCTGTTTTACACATCTGTCAACCTCTGGCTTTCATTCATGTCTCAGCTAAGAAGCATTTGTAAAGAAAGGAGGAGCTATGGCTTGGAAGAGATGTTGAGTTTATTTGGAAGCTTCTCCCTCATACTTGGGGCAGGGCCCTCCAGGTTGGTAGATCAGTGACTACATGTGTACTGCCCAGGTGACACTCAGATCGTCTTCCAGCCCTGCTCCCTCTAGCAAGGGAGGGTCTGTTGTCTCCTGCGGACAGAGCACTCATTTGCTTTCCAGATCAGTGACTGCTGACCCAGTAGGAGAGCATATTTCCCCATGGTCCAAGGAAGCTACTTTGTGGACTGTAAGGTTCAGGCAGAGGTCAGGCCCGTGTGCACTCTCAGGGCACAGGGCTCTTGGGCCACGTGCTCAAGATGCCTTGCCTCTCGTTCATGATCTGGTTCTGTCTGGTCCCTCCTCTGGAGGATAAATGATCCAGATGGAGTCTGGTTTGATACTGAGTAGGCCACCATGGTCAGTTGGCTGCGGGTTAAGAAGAGTCCCGGGAATGAGCACTTCCAGATTGCCCTCTTAGACTAATTAAGGAGGTATGAGAGAATGCTTTAATCTGTATCCCAAGTAGACTTCGGGACTCCCATTATTCCCAACTTCTTTTCCTCTTTCCATGTGGCACTTTCTGCATGGATGAGAACCTGGTATGTAAACACCTTCTTTGGATAATCACCATTACCACTGGACTTCCAGCCAAGAATGAGACCATTCAACAGACATTCCCAGGTTACAATTCCATCCACGATCTTGGGGAAACAGAGAGAAAATAGCTCCTGTCCTCAGGGAGCTCACAGTTCTGTGTGGCCGAAGGATTCATGGAGAGAGAATTGCCAAGAGCACCGAGACTGTTGCAGTTGAGGGATACATGAGACGTGGTGGGTGGGCTGCTTTCTTGACCCACTGCTCCATGCAGGAGAGGGGAGCTCCTTTCTTATGGAAAAGCAAGTTCCCTTAGGAACCCTGATCTTCATCAGATGTAGAACATCTCCTCCTTTGGGGACTGATGCCAATGTTAGCCACAGCCTTCCTTCACACTTGCAGAGAGTTTCAGAGAGGTCTGGTGTCTCCACACAGAAGCCGAGCCTGGTTCTCAGAGCCATTTCTCCCGGCCTTGCCAGCTCACTGCTCAAGCTCCTCAGCTGCACCTGCTTCACTTAGAAGATATCAGAAGCTCCTGAGTTCCTTTCTGCTAGGCTCCCTACTTTCTTATGCTCAGGTTCATCTTTGGTGAAGTCTTCATAGCCTGCCCATCCATTCTCAACCCTTTTTTTTTTTTTTTGAATTTCAAGAGTCATTGCCCGTCCCCTTCACGTGGCAATTGCCACTTACACCCAGGTCTGTCTTTGGTCTCAGGGTCTCGTATTGCTGGCACTTTAAAATGCTGCTGACATTTTCAACACATTGGCACATAAACTCCCCCCTACCCCCCCCGCGCCATGTATTTGGTTGCCCCTTACAAAGCCTAGAATACATGGTAATGACTCAAAGGTTTCTGTTAATTTTCTGCCTTTTATTTTCCCATCTGTCCATAAATACTACTTGACTGTATTGCTCTTCCAAAATGAAGACAAACTTCTCACACACTTACACACGTGATCATTAGAGCAGCTCCTCTTTGTTGAGTACTGACTACATGCCAGGATATAGATGAATCGCACACATCCTTTTATTTTAGCACGTATGATAACTTGCGAAGTGTTACTATACTTCTGTTAGAGGTGAGGAAAGTCTGGGGGCTGTTGTTAGTGTCTGGATGGAAGAAGGGAGGTGAGTCTATATGCTGACTATTCATTCAGTCGTGGTCTACACCCGTTGCCGTGTAAGCACCTCTGCCAGGGTTGCACTGGGTTGGAGATCGGGGGATGGTGTGTGAGAGGAGTTATTTTAGGACTGATGAGCTCCCTTCAAGTTCACGATTAACTTTTTTTTTCCCTCTCTTTTGGCAGTGTTAAGCTTTAGACAGAACCTGGTTCAAATAAACTGATGACAAAAGGAGGGTTGCTTGGACTTTTGTACTCATCATGTGACTCAGGTAGTCAATATGGATTTAGCATAGCTGTGTTTTTAATAATCTAAGCCAGATTAAAGGGATCCATGTTTGAAATGTGTGTTTTATTTAACAATGTGTTACTTGTAGCACTTCAGGAACACGTGGGTTTCTGAGGTTCTGTTGAGGAAGCTGCCCGAATGTTTGGTGTGCTAGGGTTTTCACAAGATTTGTCTCCTCCAGATCTTATAAAAAATGAGCTTTAGTAGCTCCCATGTCCCTCAAATAAATGAACACTAATCAACTCACACAGTTCAGTTCATTTAATTTTTAAAATAGCTCCATGCTCTTTTACTTTTAAAATCTTAAGAGATTTCCTGAATAGATCATTACCACCAAGTTGGTACGGACTTGCGGAGGCCGTAAAACAAATAAAGTCATTAAAAATAATTTGAACAAAAGGAGTAACTTGATATTATGCCATCTACATTTGGTTTAAATGACGTTTTAAAGTTCTCTTTCATCTTACTAAACAGATCTCTAAAAGAGAAAAAATGTGATTAATAATTATCCTCCATAAATCTTATGATAACTATTATAGTCTTTGGAGAATTATGAATCCACATCTGGAAAAAGTATTTTATATGCTACTGCCTGTAAAGCAGCAGGCCATGCATTTTACAAGTGCACGTTAGTAAGTAAAACTACGGTACGTTTTTTGGGTTCATCATTTTCCCCTCCAAAAGAAGTGTAAGCCTAGTTTATTTCATTATAAAGAGTGCTAATAAAGTTTATATGATGCTTGTTTTCCTCCCTTACTTTGGTGCTGATGCAGTTTCCCTAGGGAAGGCTTCCCTCAGGGAAGCCTTCATTATAAGCCAGGTCGTTGGTCCCTTCAGAATCGGTGCCTGGGCAGAAGCCAGCTGGTCAAGGGGGTGGCAGAAACATCACAGGACTGAGCTAACACCATAGAAGCCACAGACTTCACTTTTTTTTTTTTCTTTCCTTCTCTTTTTTTGGCTCTTGAATTTGATTCCTTTTATACTGTTTGAAATGTACAGGTCTCATGAGCTAGTGATTCAAAATGCAAGATCGGCTCATTTTTGGAATTAGAAATTTGATTAAACTTAAACATTTGTTAAATAAAATGAGTAAAGTACTTTGAGAGCCAAAAATGTCCCTTGGAAATAGAAAATGTTTTTTCGTTTCCAAGCAGCTGTTTGCAATAAGAAGTGGCTGGTGAGTGAAAGGGAAGGACGCCATTAAGCGAAGGCAACCCCTCCAGAGTTTTATGGAGCTCTGCAGTCACGTGAGCGCCATCAGTGATAAATATCACAATAGAGGTTGCAATGTGCCTGGTTTTATTTCCATGTGGATCCTTGAATATACTTTAACTCAAGTCACAGAATCCATTTAATGACTGACCATGGAAAACCACGATCCTAGTGTGCACAAAAGCAACCTTAGTGAAAAAAGATGTAGAAATCTTATTTCTAGAAGAATAACCTACGATAACCCATAACAATAACACCTGTAAACCAAATTTTCTTTTGTTTGGATTTCAGAAAAGCAGCAGGCTAAACTTTACTAAAGTTGTTACCAGGTTTTCTGTCTCCAGAGAGTTTTAATGCATTTATCTTTTGGGCTTCATTTCCAAGCCTTGAGTGACCAGATTAAAGGCCCAAGATGCTGTTGGAATGGGGAGGGCCATAAAGTTCAGCGTCCAGCCCCCTTACCTCACAGATGAGGAATCTGAACTGCTGAGTGGGAAAGGGACTTGTTCCAGGGCCATAACAAGCACAGAGAGGACTAGGAACCCATGTTCACCAGACTGGGGTCTGCCAGCTCCTAGCTACTCTGGTATACTGACTCTAAAATATTTCTAAATTAAAATGGGGGTAGGTTGGCCCATGAGGAATAGGGTTTCTGTTCCTTTCATCAGATCATCAAAACACATCTCCTGGAGCCTCATTTATTCCTCATTTATTATAGAGGTAATTGATGGTACCACACACAATGTCAGACCAACGTCACTTAAAGACTGATAGACAATGTTCACGCACTTAGGGCATGTGGAGAAATAGTTCTATTGTTTGAGATTTCTAGACTTATTTCCACCAATAATTAGATGTGTGAGCTTGCATAATTCTCAAAACAATGTGTATCTAAATCTCTTCAGCATTTAAATAAGATCAGAAAAGATGATTGCAAAATGACCTTTTATGTATATGTTAAGGAATTAATCCAAGATTGCTTCAGAGTTCTGATGAATGACAAGATTATCTTATATCTGTTCCAGTTTCTATCTAATGCTATCTAAATGTGCTTGTATCAGTTAGACCTTCCAATGGAACAAACCAGCCCAAAACTTAGAGGCTTAAAGCAACACCCATTTACTCACCTGCTGATCCTGTGGGCTGGTGATTTGGGCTGGGCTCACTCACATGTAGTCAGGATGATTCCGTTTCTGGGGGATAACTGAACGCTGGTAGTTGGGGTGGTGGAGGCATGTGGGCACTTGGTTTCTCTTCTGTAGGCTAGTTTGAGCTTGTTCATATGGTGGTTGCAGGTTCTAAGAGACAAAGTAGAAATAACCACGGTCTCTCGAGGCCTGAACTGGGAACTGGCACACCAATTATTTCCACAGCATGTGTGGCTAAGTCAGACCCAGCGGATTCATGGGGAAGGGGAGATAACCTCTAGCCTTCATTGGGAGGAATTACAAAGTCACAGCATAAAGACAAACTGACGTAGATACAGAGAAGAATGGAGGATTTTAGCTATTTTTGTAGCCTACCATTGTGCCTAATTCTTATTATTTAGAAAACACTGTGTGGTCCTTGAATCAGCAGTGCTAAGAATTTTAGATTCCATGAACCAGTAACAGAGCAAAACAAAACAAAACAAAACAGTATAAGGAATCCATGTAAATATTAAAAAAATAGGGAAATTTTGGTTGTAATAAGTAAGAACATGTAAAACCAAATTCCAGTCATCTTCTATCCCCATTATATATATAATATCAAGGACTTCATGAATCTCTACTTCTTAGGAGCATCACGTTGAGGCTCAGCACCCTGGCTTTAGTCTTCCCTGGACGGCTGGTCGGAGGAATTGGCCCTCAGAGAGTTCGGTTCCTACCTTTGTACTGCAGTCAGCAGCTGGGAATCCTTGATGAAACCATTTACTTGGCCAAAGCTGAGTTTTCTCATCTGTAAAATGAGACAGACGCAACACATTTTTCATGTCTTTTTGTGAGTATTAAATGAAATAGTATTTGTATTTCAATTGCTGCACCCTCTGCCAGGCTCATACTAACTGTTCAACATAAGACAGTTAATTATTGGATGATTGATTTGGTTTTTAAAAAATGATATTGATTTTTACCTACACCCCTTCTCATCGCTGGGTCAAGTAGGAAATGCCACAGATTTCTTTTTGTTTTTAATTCTGATTAGATTTAATACAAAAGCACAAGAATATAATAGATATGAAATTCCAGCCACATTTCATGAAAATGTAAATGAATAGCTATAATGGCATACCTTTCTCACAGATACTCAACTAGTATCAGCACCTCCAGAATTTCATCCTCATTCTGTGCATGGCACTTCCCAATCATGCGTGTTTTATCTTGGGATAAATAGTTTCTCAGGGCTTGTCTGATACCCTAGGAAGTTTTGCAGGAAGTGATTTACTAGCTTTTCTTTTGCAACGACTAACTACCCTAATAACTAATATGCAAAGAACCACTTATAACATCTCGAAGAAAAGACTCCCATTTACCCATTTTAATATGCTGATCTTACTCTTATAATTCTCTCAGGAAAAGAGATGAAGAAACACCAGAAAAATGTGATGACCTAGGTTTGTGTGAAGCCATGGTTGAAGGGAAGGGGCAGCCATGGTTTTGGGTAATCCCTCCTACCAGCTGTTTCTGAATCTATACCTTTTTTACTTGTAATTTTAATCTAACAGTCCCTTAGCAGCTATTATTAAGACGAGATTACATGCAGAACTACTTCTTGGTTGCACATTGGAGTTATAAAAATTTCAATATGCTAGAACTAATCAGGCTTTAAGACTAAGACAAAATGATTTTTCAACAAGTCTATTTACATCATAGCCTGTCACCAACTTTTTTTCCCACTGCTCTTCCTATCCAGTTGGCTTCCCAGTCTACATCTGAGTGGTTTCCATTTTAGGTAGAGAGAAAATAATGAATGTCAGTGCTTGTCTCTACTGTACTTGGTCGTCATTGGGCTTTATTTACACTGGTGATAAACATAGTACCTTTCTCCACAGTGGTAGGATTGGTTTCCTCACCTCTGCAGTCCCCCCGACCCCATCTTAATCCTATGACATGCCCAATGGGTCCACAACTCAGAGAAGGTTTCTGAAGCAACTGAAGAGTTAATTCTTTCTGTAGCTCTATTGTTTTTTTTTTTTTTTAAGGAATCCCTAAAGATGTAATTCTTGCCAAAAAAATAATCTCAAACTTTGCTCGAGCCAAAGAAACTGCCTCAGCAGCTTGCTTAATTTTGTCAGTGTTCATGAATCCTTCTCACTCCTCCATACATACCTTTATACCTTTGTGTTGAAAAATGCTGTGTGAGCGTCTGTGCGCATGTGTGTCCCCGAATTCTTATTTTCTTTTGAGGTCTGGTGTCCAAGCTTGTTATTCAAAGTGATGGCTCATGTGATTTCTGTACCCCCTATTCATCTGGAAAGATGACATAAAAGTAGACCAATTGATAAACCTGAGAAAAACAAAGGGAAGGAGGATGTTATGAATAATAGCAATAAAATTAACTTCCCTACATTAAACTGTTAGTTCCCCGAACTTTATTTTAAAAGCCTGACACTAGGAACTTGAATATTTACCACTCGGTGTCTGTCTCTCGCTCTTCCTCTCTCCCTTCCTCTCTCTCTCTCTCTATTGGATTGAGAGAAACCTGTGGATTATAGCAATCTTATATGTCTGACCCTTCATTTGGATTTTTAAGCTTTCTTTGGCAAGCATAATTTGGTACCATTTCATTTTTTCACTTTACTCAGAAGGATAAATACCTTTGAAATGGAACCGACCTCCATAGACTGGAAGGGAGGCAATAAGAAAACAAAAATGCCGCCCTGAAACAGAACCCAGAATCTAAAACCCGTCATTCTCTTGAGGGTTGAAAATGTTTCCCTTCAAATGAAATTAGACTTGTGTTTCTACCATTATGGTTTTAGCAATGGAAATTTGATAAGGATGGCTATTTCTCTGTTTCCAGATGCTTCCCCAGCAAACTGCCCAAATTGCCTAGCAGCGATTGTCTAATAAAGTTAGAACCAGTGACATTTCTTCTGATGAAACTAATGATGGCTTGTTAGACTGAACCTGCACATCTTCTGAAGTTTGATAGCACAATTCTAGAAAGGTACAGGTATATGTTTTAAAGTCAAAGCGTTCACATGTATGAGATAACTGACAACTTTTGAAATACATATCCAGAGCTGTGGGTACAATTTGCTAGGAAGAAACAAAGAAGAGCTTTGTAGGTAGAACAATAGGCTGACAAAGGTAAAGGTTGTGTTGAGTGCCAGTTGAGAGTTCTCAAGGTTGCATTGAGTGTTCATGCAAAAAAATAGAGAAAGAGGAGTTCGGATGGATGCAGTAGACAGCTTCTGGCATGGCTCCTGGTGATTCCTGACTCCTGGAATTCATGCCTTCCCCTTAAAACTAGGCTGGACCTGGTGACTTGCTTTTAACAAATAGAATGTGGCAAAAGTGGTGGGATGTCATGTTCATGACTGGGTTATAAAGACTGTGATGTGCTTCTTGCTAGCCCTCTCTCTCTGGCTTCTCTTGTAGTCTTATTCTGATGAAACAGGCTGCCATGTCATGACCCGTCCTGTGGAAGGGACCATATGGCTAGGAAGTGAGGGCAACCTCTGGCCACCAGCCAACAAATAACTTGAGTCCCTCGTTGCAGTAATGACAAGCAACTGAATTCTACTGATAACCATGTGAAGGAGCTGGGAAGCAGGTCCCCCCCAGGCAGGCCTTCGGATGAGACTGAAGTCTTGGCAGAGACCCTGATTGCAGCCTGTGAGAGACTCTGAAGCAGGGGACCCTGTAGACATTGTGCCCAGACTTCTGATCCACAGGAGCTGTGTGACAGTAATTGTAGTTTAAGCCTCTGAGTTTTGGTATAATTTAGTATGTAGCAATGAATGTTCTATCAGTCAGGGTTTTCCAGAGAAACCAAAGAGAGGACACACACACACACACACACACACGTATATATTTTCATGGAGAAAGAGGGAACAAAAGAGAGGGGGAGGAGGAGATGGAGAGATAACATAAATAATTGGCTTGTGAGGTTATGGAGACTGATAGTCCATCTTCACGGTGGACCAGCCGGAGGAGACCCAAGAGAACCATTGATGTCCAAAGGCAGTTTGCTGGAAGATTCCCTCTTGCTTGGGGAGGCTGAACTGTTTGTTCTGGTCATACCGTCCAGTGATTTGATGAGGCCCATCCATGTGACAGAGAAAAATATGCTAGCTCTAGGTTTACTGATTCAAGTAATTTCATTCAAAAACACCCTCTAAGTTGACAAATAAAATTAACTATTACAGATGTGAAGTCATGCCTTCAAGATGTCTTTCAGAGAAGCTGGAACTTGGTAATATCCTGAGCAAGAGAGAGCCCATCTCAGCCCTTCCACAGGCTGTAGTAGGAAAAAAAAAACTGCATTTGGGGGAGATAAATTTGACAGAGTTGGGTGACACTTACAAAGTCAGTTATATCTCAGCTCTCAGACCATTGTAGATGATTTTGAGGACTTTGGAGCAGGTATATGTACATTTTAACCAACTGATAGAGAGCAAGTACTACCCAAGTGGTGCCCACCTAGATTACAAAAGAGCACAATACTAGCATCTCTGAAATCCCCATGTGGCCCCATCTGATCAGAACTATCCTCTGTGAGTTTTTATAATATATTCCATAATCAAAGAAATTTGGAAAATGTAACCAAACTTATGGTTATGAATATAAGTGGAACACAGAATGTACACTGATTGTTTTAGGTGTATTAAGATTTCCCTTCTCAACTAGATATAGTCTCCTAAGAGCAAGGGGCTCATCTCATGTTCCTTGTGGGGACTTGTAGCTTTCAAGCACAGGCAGGGTGGCGTCTCATGGCATCTCATGGGTGCCGTGTTGGTATTCACTCATGGTTATTTGACAACTGGGTATGGGAGCAGTCTTTCATGTCTCAGAATTGTCAGGAGGTAAGATGTTTTGGTGAGAAAATACATGTACCACTGAGCCCCAAATCCCCCCAAAACCTTTCATTTTTAGGGAAAATTTGTCTATCTGTAAAGAAAGAACTGAGTGTAGCTAACCTAGGCTATGTTTTGTATACATGTTGAAATGTATACAAATGTATACAGAGTTGAAATGATTGGGGCTCTGAGACTTTTAGAACTGTTTAAAGATAACTGCTAGTTTTCAATGCTCAAAACTCAGGGTCTAGGCTTGTAGCTATGTTATGGAGGTTAAACAGGCATCTTTATCAGTTTAATTAGCTGTGTGTTGTGTGTGTATATGTGTGTGTATGTGCAGGTGGAGAGGGAGAGAAAGAGAGTCAAAGATCAGGGCCAGTTCTGAAGGTCACACAAGTACAATGGAAGCCCACTGTCCTGCCTGCAGTATTTCACCAGGTGATGAAATTTCTAGGCTCTGCAGAAAATATATTCTGAATTTCTTCTATAAATGTAAAGTATTCATTTCACTGTGGCCTGTTGGCACTAGGATTCAGTCTGTCAAGGGCATAACAAAAATGGACATCATGCCTTGAAATGCCAAGAAAAACAAATGCTAAAAAGGAGCCCATGTAGACTTAAATATGCAAACAAGCTAAGGGCTCTTGCCTAGCAGCAGGATGGGGGGTTTGAGGGGTACAGGGAAGGGGGAACAAACTAGAGGACTGCAGCGTGCATGGGGGAACACTTGCATACCAGGCAGTGAGGGACTTGATGCATGTGTCCAGTTGCAGGTTTAGTTGAGATTAATGTGCCTTGATGACCAGTCCTGTCCTAAAGTTTCCAAGAGGAATCAGATTCTGATGCCAATTTGCCTCAAAACAGATGGGCAAGACTTTTCCATGGGGAAAGAGCACCAAGGTGAAATGCCACATGTCAGGAGAAGGTATTTCAAACTTAATTTGCAACAGGCAGAAACAATAGAGAGGAACAAACTGGCCTTCAGAAGGTTCTGGGGTGAACACTGAGAAGGACCCCAAAACTCAGTTCTTAGAAAAATTGTCCTCTCCCACTGACCTCTTAGGTTTCCAAAGTTCACCTGTTGTGAAATGCTAGTATTTGTTGCTGGAAGAGGACACCAAGTGATGTTTCATCTCTGCAAAAAAATATCTGTTTTCATGAATTCAGTGTGAGAGCAAATATGTCATCACTTGTGCTCAGTGTTACAAAAGGGGGAATTTTTCAGCTGTCTTTATTGGAACAGAGCATGTTTTCACACTACTTGATGTCAGTGTCTCCCATTTTAAGCTCTTGTTTTTATTGGACACATTGGATTGTTTCAGCCCAAATTGCACATATCCGAAACCTACTAGATTGTAGGCCAGATGATCGGGCCAGAGAATAGCCACTTATTCCCAGATTCATGTCAAAACTGATTGAAGTAGAGATCCAAATATTCCACCTGCATGATATCATCTTAACTCCCCGGAAACTCTGCTCTTTCCCAAGATGGTATGTGTTGGTTATAACTACAGGTTCTATTTTCACTAAGTCCAAATTTGTGCTATTTAGAACTTAAGAAAAAACTTTATAACTCACAGAACCCCTAATATGTATGGATTACCACCACTGAGGCTGCATACATGTCCTGTGGGCTGCAAATGGGAGAAGGAAAGAGTAAGGTCGTACTGGCTTGGGGAGGGAGGTTGCAAAATAGATGGAAAGCATTAAAGGTATCTTTCAGTAGATGTTTGGAAAGAAACAATGTCAGAAATGTTGCTAGGACAAATGAATAACTGGCAAGATACAAAATGGAAACAAATTTCATATTTATCCTCAGGACTAAAATATATTAAGATATATTAATGATATATATTAATGATATATTAATGAGTTGGATATAATATATAAATCATATAAGTCTTCCCTACTATAGGATTCATCACTCATAAGTATTCATAATTAATAGCTACTATCTTAAATTCTTAAGTATTATTATACACTTGCTAAAGGTAAGTATGATACAAAGAAAAGAACACCAGTCTTAGCTTCAGAAAATGTGGATTTTAATCTAATTTTATATGATCTGTGTGACCTTGGCCAAGTGACTTAGCTCCTCTGTGTTTAAGTTTCCTTAGTAGTGCAATGGAGATAACAATAGTCATCTTATCATCACTGATGCAATGACTGATACAAAATATCAGAAGCACTTAGTGCTATGCCATGCACACAGAAGGACTTCTTAAATAATTGTTATAAGAAGGAACAAAACATGAGCTTGGCATTTGTGTAGGAGGTCCGTGTGTGATATGTACACACAAATGGGAAGAGAACAGATCTGAAAGAGGTGTATCAGGGCTGGGAATGTAGGCACAATGATGACTAAGGGTAAACAGGGTGCTGGGCTTCCCAGAATGACTGTAGCTTTTGAGGGTAGAGATTATCCACTGCCCTATGTGTCTTCTT